CCAGTTTTGAAACTGTCCTCGTCGTCGTCGTCGTCGTCGTCGAAAAGAGTTTGATCGAGTATGACGGATGTGGAGAAGGGGCAAGGGGCGAAGCAACAAGCTTTTCGCGTAACAAACGATCCGCTATTATAATAATTCATCCGTCTAATCAGGCGGAAGCAATTTCTGGCGGCCGATCCGTTATACCTCTCGTGTTATTAAAGAGGGAGACTTTTTAACCCTCGAGTGGCGCTCCCTCAAACATTAGGATCGATTCGAACGACGATATTTGTTACGTTTAATTTTTTTTTTAAAATATCGTGTTATAGAATTTAAAGTTCAGTGAAATAATTTTATTTATGGTTTTATTATTGAAAGCGTTGTCAGCAACACCACTAATTTCATAGTTGATATTTATTTGTTTTTCTTCGATACATATATTTCAAATATTTTACAAACAGATACGCGCGATTAATTAATATATATTTATTCAGCTATTAATCATTTTATTTACTTTATTATATATATATATATATATATTTTATTTATTTTATTTGTTGTTTTCACTGTCCAGTCAACATTATATATAGAATAAATTCATATAGAATAAATTCCTAAGGCTCTTCACGTGTAACCTTGAGAAGCGTGGAATAACCGTCGAACGGTTAGACTTTTTTTATCTCTACACCGCGGATCGAATTACACTTTCAATGTTGGTCCGAGTTTAACGGTCACTGGGAATAGAAATATTATTTTCAAAGTTTTCGAGTTTTGTAAGCATACGGTAATGAAATTAGTTGGAACGAAGATGAGTTTGAATAACGTAATTTGAATAACGAATTTTCGTTATTGAATAACGAAATTATTTCTATTCGTTAAGAAATCGACGATAGAGGGAAGGAAAATAGCGATGAAAATAGAGATGTAGTATAAGAAGAATATAGAATGAATAGAAAATAAGAATAATAGAAGTGAATGACAATGAGAATATATTATTGGGATATTAGTTCAAGATGAGTTTTTCGTTATTGAATAACAAAATTATTTCTATTCGTTAAGAAATCGACGAGAGAAGGAAAATAGAGATGTAATATAAGGACTTTAATATTTGACAAATTTTCTTTTTTCGTACATAATTTGTGCGTGAAATTATTTTAAATTAGCTAAGAAGTTCGGGTGCGAAAAATGAAGTTATTGATTCGTCGAGTACAAAGAGTTAATTTTCAAATATATAAAGAATAATTGTTCCGATGTAACGTACAACAATTAAGTTATAGACATAGAGAATTAATCGATAACTATTTTCAATAGTTGAGAAATTTTTCAATAAATTTTTTTAAGAAGCATTTAAAATTTCAATTTCGAACAGTTCTATTTTAATTTAAATCGTTACATAAATTATCGATAAATTTTTTTTGTAAATTAAACTTTAAGCAATTATTTATTAGAAATTCACACGATGATTTGTAAATAATTTTTCGATATGTTCGAGCGAAAAAGGTCTGGAGCGAGTTAAAAAAAGAGTTAAAATTAATCGCCAGACACTATTTATTATTTTTCTCTCGTAGCAGGTGTTACAAATTGGACAGAACGCGCGCACTATCTTTTTCTTCTTCTTCTTTGCTCACGATAATATTTTAATTTTAATTTATCAACCGCTTACCTCCATGAACCTCGCACACGAGAAACAGATCCGCTCCTTCTGGATAGGCCTCGAGAAGTTTGCTCATATCCCTCCTTTTCGCGTCGTAAATGATCGGCTTGGCCGGTGGCACTGAAAGAAGAAGAAAAAGAATGGAGAAGGACGAACCGGA